AATACATGATTTAATCATAAGGCAACATCAGACAAATGAAATTGAGATACATTCTACAAAATAACTGGTCAGTACTCTTCAAAAATGTCAAGGTCATGGGGGGTAAAGACTGAAAACTGTCCCAGATGAAAGAGACTATGGAGACATGACAGTTAAATTCAATGTATGACCCAGGATTGCATCCTGGACCAGAAAAAGTACACCGTGGCACATTTGATAAAATGTTAATATTAACTTCTTGATTTTGATCATTATACTGTGGTTATGTAAGTTGTTAACATTTGGTGAAACTGAGTGAAGAGTATGCAGGAATTCTCAATACTGTTTTTGCAAATTTTTTCTAAGTCTGAAATTATTTCAAAATGAAAATTTTTTTTTTTTTTTTTTAAAGATGACCGGTAAGGGAATCTCAACCCTTGGCTTGGTGTTGTCAGCACCACGCTCAGCCAGTGAGTGAACCGGCCATCCCTATATAGGGATCCGAACCCATGGCCTTGGTGTTATCAGCACCGCACTCTACCGAGTGAGCCACGGGCCGGCCCTCAAAATGAAAAATTTTTAAAATTAAAAACAGTCATTTATTTTGTTCATGATCTTGAGTCAGAAATTTGGGAAAGGTTCAACTGTAAGGTTCATCTCTGGTCCATATGGCATCAGCTGGACCACCTGATGTACTTCCAAGACGACTTCACTCACATATCCAGCACCTTGGTGATCCTTAGTCTTTCTTTTTTAGTGATGACATCTGGTCATCCAGGCCCTCTTTTTGTTGCTTGCCTTCTTAGAACATGGGGGTCTAAGTGTAATTGCATCTCTTATGTGGTGTCTGGCTTCTAAGAGTGAGTGTTCCAAGAGATGGGACATGGAAGCTGTCAGTCTCTTAAAGCCTGGGCCCAGAAACTAGGATGGCATCACTTCCACCATATTCTATTTGTCAAAGTAGTAGTATAGTCTGCCCAGATTCAGAGGAGAGGACAGAGACCCCACCACTCAATTGGAAAAGTATAGAACTGTGGTCATCTTTAATCCATCATAGGTATATAACAAAAGTCTCACTGAATTAGCAGTCAGAATGGAATTAGTGAAAAAAGCATGGATTTGTTTTAGTCTGATAGACCTAATTTCTAGTCTTGGCTTTACCATTTACTAACAGTGTGATGTTTCTGAGCCTTAGTTTTCTCATCTCTTAAATGGTGGCAATAACACATATGCCATAGAATTGTTGAGAGGATTAAGTGTTAAATTCATTTGATGTACTTTTTATATGTTCTCTTTAGTCATTACCTCTTCCTGGTGTGGAATGTCCCATTTTGAAAGGGTCAGAAAGGGCTGTACCCTATGTCCTCTAGCTGTCTGTGGGCCTGCTCCGTTTACCGTGGCCACTTTTGGTTTGATAATTTCTCACTGCCTTCTGATTAGGATTTCCATTTCCACATACAATTTATTTCACCTTTATTTTGATCCCTAAGGATCCAGGTGCTGATGCACATTTGACACTTTTTGACATTGCCTTTTCAGCATTTGTTCTCAGAGCTGTCAGCATAGTTTCTGACAGCTTCTCACATAATCTGTCAGCTCCCTCTGAACCCATGATTGCCTGCTTGTCAGAGCCAAAGTGTTCATTGTCTTTGTTTCAGTGAGTGCTCTACTGCCAGCCTTTATTTTATGCGGGATTGTGGGTGCTCAATTGTTGGCCTACCCAGGAACACCTTGATCTGCACTTTGGAGCAATTATTCAATTTTGGGCAATTACTCGTAGGTGTTCTTTAAAGCAAAGATGTTGCCAGACCGTGACTGGATTTTCAAACAGCAGTATCCAAATCAGTTAAGGAACCACTTCCTCATGTACGCTAGGCTGATCTCAATCTGTTGTCACTGGAGGAAGGTGGTGACCCTTTCTCTGAACAGCAAGCTGGGTTTTTATTGCCTTATATCCAGCAAGCAGTCAGCGACTCTTTGTGAAAGTTTTCAGTACAGAAGCAAGTAATAGAATTTGGTTTTGGTAGAAGTCACCTACCTATTTGTTATCTTTCTACTCTCTGCTTTCAAAATTTACTTGCCTTTAAAGGGAAGGAATCATTTTACTCCTTTAGGAATTAGAAGACACATTAAGTGATACCCAAATAAGGGATTGATTCATTCATCACTTATAAATTGAGCCATCTTCTCTAATTTAGTGGTTGAGAGCATTACTTTTAGAGTTAGGCTGCTTGGGTTAAAGTCCTAGATCTGCACTTACTAGCTGTGTGACTTTAGGAAATTTACTTTGATTTCTCTAAATCTTAATTTCCCTGTATGTAAATGGAACTTAGGGTTGTTGTGGGATGAAATAAAAACATGCTTTCAAATGTTAGCACATAGAAAATAGGATGTTGGCTCTTATTTGTTATTTTGAACTTGGAGTTAGATCTTGTACTGTAAATAATGTGTCCATAAAACATATTGACTTATTATTTTTTACTCTTAATAATTCTCCACATTTTTTAGCCCTTTGAGTCCTACTAGTTAACCCTCAGTAACAAATAAGTTGCCAGAGATTATATATTCCTGAAAAGTGGAGGCATCTTGAAACTTTATGACATCTTTTCCTTTTAAAAACACATTTCCAAAAAATATATTTCAGCTCAATTAAGCAGAGATTGGATTATGGAAAAGTAAGTGGAAAATAAAGTAACAATGAAGAACTTAGTTAATGGTGGCCTAGAAGAGTGAAGGGTGGTTCACTTATAATTCATATCATTGTTGGCTAGGGGCCTGTGCTGAAAACCAAAGCTTGCGTTGTTATTACTTAAAAACCAACCTATTTGTAGTGCTCCACTTTAAAACTGACCAAGGGCTGGTCTGTGGAAGGTTTCTATAAATTTTTTTTTGGGGGGGTGTGGCTGGCCAGTATGGGAATCTGAATCTGTGTCCCTGGGATTATAAGGCTGCACTCTAAACAACTGAGCTAACCGGACAGCTGGTTCCTATAATTTAATGACACCTGTTATTATAATCCTAAATTAAAATGTCTCATTTAAAAGAAAAAAAAAAATCCAACTAAGATTGCTTCCTTTACTGTCCCTCAGGGAATCAGGAAACATTTTGTAGTGCAATAAAGAATTTGAAAGAATAACTAGTTTTTCCTGGTTTCCAACAACTTAGAGGTCTGAAAGTATGTTATTTGCGTAGTCTTGCCACTCTATTCTACTTTAGTTCAAGGTTTAGCAAGTCTTTTTTTGCTTTTTATGGGTAAAGTCTAGAGTTTCATAAAAGCAGGTACAATAAAACTTTATTATTCTGAACTTGTTTAAGGAATTCACATATACACATTTTTCTGGTAACTGAAAGTTACCTCTTTAGCTTCTCCAACTTAAAAGAAAAATCTACTTTTTATTTAAAACACACATTGTACTCCCTTCTTAAGCAAAGTATTTTAACGTAATGTAAGCATTTACTAATCCTGCCAGACTATCATTATTGAATTACGAATTATTAGAATTACGAATAAGTTAATAATTAACTATTGAATGGTTATTGCCTCCCCCAAGTGGGCCCATATAACTACACATTTTATAGTTTCTTAAAAACTTTATCTTCTATTTCCGTTAGATCTAATATTTTAATTCACTTGTCTAATAGTTTCATTTTGAAATAATTGATAAAAAAGAGGTTCTTACTGTAATTTGATGATGATTGTATAAATTGGTTTAATTGGGTCCATAGGGAAAAAATTTACCCCAGAAAATTTGAGATAGAAAGTATAGTTCAATCATTCAGTCATAAAATAAGTACTTACTATGCATATTACACCAGCATCAGTGAAAATGACATTAGACTAGACATAAGTCTTGGGTGGTGATCTTAGCCTGCTACTAACTAACTAACTAACTAACTAACTAACTAACTAACTAACTAACTAACTAACTAACTAACTAACTAACTATAAAACCTTAGACTTGTCACATTCATATTCTGAAAAACGTAAATCATAGTACAGGTTGTTATGAGAACCAGTGAGATTTCATCATTTCTGCAAACTTGAGGTGGAGGGAATGTTTGACAAGGAGGTTGAGAATGCAGCAGAGATGGCTGAACATAGAGTTTCCAGAGAATAAAGTGAAAGGATTTGGGAAGGAGAGAAGGAATGAGAAACTAGCTTAAGAGAAAGGAGCAGAGCATTATGAGGATTTATTTATCCCTAAAGAAATATGGTTCTGATTTTCAGGAAAAAAAAGAAAAGGAAGTCTGGCAAATAGCCCTTAATTACTACCTCTAGTCATACAAATAATACTTGAAAGCAAGTACTAAAAACAAACAGCAAGATAATAAGAAGAGTAGTGGGAAAACAGTAGTGTTTTGTTTTGTTTTGTGGGCCACTGACAATTTAATTGCATCACACTGAAGTCCGGACTAGGATCAGGAATTTCAATTAATAATTTTACATTTCTGCATCTCTGCCAGCTTGAGCAAGGAACTTAACTTTCACAAGCCTTAAAGACATGCAAATGATTCAGAAATGGATTGAAGAAAAATAATTTATCGTAAAACAATAATTTTATATGAACATTAATTAAATAGCACCTAGTATTTCCAGTAAGCCAGTCAGAGAAGGAAAATACCTTTAAAAAAATCTCATGGTTTGGGCCGGCCCGGTGGCGCACTGGATAAGTGCGCCGCTTGGGAAGCGCGGCGGCGCTCCCGCCCGAGGGTTCGGATCCCACATACAGACCGGTTCCCGCTCACTGGCTGAGCGAGGCGCGGGAGCAACACCGAGGGTTGCAATCCCGTTGCCGGTCCCCGGTCCGGTACGGGGGCGACACTGAGGGTTGCGATCCGTTGCTGGACACGGAAAAAGACAAAAGACAAAAAAAAAAAAAAAAAATCTCATGGTTTAATTATTATCATGTGTGAAGATGAAAGCAGTTAGGGATTTTGTTAAAGATGGATGGAAGTCTTGGGAAAATATTTAGTAAAACAGATGTGGCTGTATTGATTTTCTCTTTCTTTTTCTATTTCAGGGTTTGAACATAATCTTTCACGTAGCCTTGGCTCTCCTAAAGGTAAGTCTGTTTTTGTCTTGTTATCAAACTGTCTTACCCCTCTCCCCTTGGGATTGTAATAATTCAGTTGATAGCCTTTGATTCATTCTAGGTGCTTGAACACAAAAAGAGACTACTTCGCTGAGAAACTTGATCTTCCCTCTTCTCATCCTTTTTGGTGGTTGTTTATTTGAAATTTGTTTGTATGTTTTTCTTTTTCTTTCTTTTTGGCAGCTGGCCAGTATGGGGATCCGAACCCTTGATCCTGGTGTTATAACACTGTGCTCTAACCGACTGAGCTAACTGGCCAGCCTTGTATGTTTTTCATGCAGTGCATTTAATCTTGCTATCATAGCATTTCGTCTAGTAACATAAAAAATGTTTTCATTCATACAAGTTGGATGATATAAGAGAAAAAGTTAAAACCTGTTTTCTGTCAAAATAGTGCCAGCTTCTTCCTTAAAATATTCTAACCGTAATATCCCTGAAGGTAACTAAACATAAAATTGAATTATTAAAAAGCTTCTATAATACACTGACTAAAAAAGAAACTGCTACATTTCAACTTGCAGTTCTTTCCCTGATTGCTGCAAATTTATAAGACACTTCAGAATTCAATTGTAATTACCTTGTTGGATTTTATATTAACCTATCAATACAGGTTTAACAGTGTGGTAAGAGCAAGACATTTGCTGCAGAGTTGGTTACATAACCCAGTTAGTTTTTGTCCTTCAGTCAAAGAAGACATTCTGTTATTGAAGGCAATAATTGCCTTATTTATAAAAAGAAACAGGCGTACCCTTTCCCCAGTATAACCTAGTGTTTAAAATTGCAGACGCTGGACTCAGACTGACTTGCTCCTAATTTCAGCCCTCCTGTATGACCTTAGGCAGTTTACTCTAAGTATTCAAGAGTCTGAGTTTTGAGATAATAGAAACAAATTTATGGGATTGTTTGAAGAATTAAATAAGATGAAACAAAAGTCCTTAATGCAGTGTCTAGAAAATTTTACTGCCTCGTAAATGTTAGCTCTCATTATTATGATTGCTGTTGTTGTTTATAAGGTAATTCAGAATGTGTTCCTAGATCCCCCATCATTCTCCCCAGTTCCTCAAAAATTAATCTTAGGCATGCCTCTTAATATCTTAGAAGAGCCTTGACACTTAACAATTAACATATCTTGATTCTAAACAAAGGCATGAAACAGTATGGGCACTCTGCAACTCAACAGGTGTGTTGCCGTGCCTCATCTCTTATTCTGTTAAACATTTGCTTTTTGTGAAGTTCATAAAATGCACTGTATTAAATCATTTTGTGTTTATATATGAACAATTCTTATGGCAAAGTTATTTTAGAAGTTAGGAAAATATTTAAAATATTTTTAATAAAATAACAGATACATATCTTTTAAAGAAGTCATGGATCTTGACCTCTAATTTTTTTTTTCTTTCATTAAAACAAATCAAAACCAGAAAGTTTTCAACATGCCCTTTCAACAGGGCTTGGAATAAGACTTTTAGGATGGTTAAGCAGTGAAAGTATTATGTAATTCAGACTAAAAAACAATACTAAACCATAAAGTAAGTATAAGGAAGTCCAACAAAGTTCTAATTTTCTCTATCATCTAATTTTTTATTTAACTCTCAGATATTACATCTTTCCCAAAATGTCTTTTCTCATTCTTTCGGTGACTTATCTTTACTGGTGCTCTCAACACATGCTTAGTCTTTGTTTTGGGTAACTCAGTACTCTCCTTCTGGATAACAGAAATATACCCTGTGTCATCTTACTACTGTATATGTTGATTAATTATTTTCTTGATTGACATATTGGCTTATTTGTATTATTTTTATTTATTTTGGGCCATGTTAAACCAGACAAGCCTGTGCAGACTACATTCTCTGACCATTGGGCAGAGAGGCTTTTTGTATCTTCTCTAGCAATACATGGACACTTCTAACATCATCTTGGAGAATTTGGCTAGTTAGAGAAGATAAAAGGAGAGCCTCCTCGTACTAGTGACCCATATTTATGTCCCTTCATTGCATGAATCCTGAAGCTGACCCCACATAGAAACAGTATATGTAGGGTTAAATTAAGGTATACTTCGTTGATCTGATGGTCTCTACCTGGTAAAAGAAAACACAAACATGACAACAAATTTTCAGCTTCTAATCTAGTATGCCAGAAAAAAAGAAGGGAAAAATACATTTGTTTATATAAAAATAAAAAACTTTGGGAAATTTCAAAGCGCTCATGAACCCAGCCTAGCTAATTTTCAGTAGCTGCAGAGAGACTTTAGATGTCTTTGTATTAGAGGTATTTTTTGTGGTGAGGGGACTCAGAAAGGTAACTAACATTTCTCGAGCAATTTACTCTTGTGCTAATTGCTGGTATAGGTTATCTCATTAGCACACATTAAATGTCCAGGTATTATTTGTAGGAGAATAGTAAATTGAGTTAGCCAGAGAAAAACATCTAATTCTCACCTTTTAACACCACAGATATGGGATGAATGTCTTTTTTACTCAGTTTGGTTTAGACTTAGTAAAGGGACATGAAAATCAACTACATTGTATATTGATGAATTAAAAGAAGAAAAAAGAAAACACAGATGCAGAGAAGACCAAATAAATAAATAAATAAATGGAAGAATGAATAAAAATAAATTTAAATTTAAAATTAAAATAATTAAAATTAAAAAAAAAAGACACCTACTTCCTGAATGGGGCCTACTTCTATTGGGTTAGAAATAGCCTACCAGGTAGCTAGAAAGCTACTGAGCTAAAAGAATGATTTACTATAATAAGTAAGTCAGATATATTAACCCAAATCTAATGCATTTATTATATAAACATTCGTAGTCATAGCACAGAACATTTAGTAGATTGGAGATGATCAGGAAAAACTGACCTTAGCCACTTCATGTTGGGCAGAGAAATTTTTCAATCAGCGTAGATTCTTTGCTTTCTGACTGTGGTTAAAAGCAAATGACAGAATGTTTTTCTCTGTCCTTCCCCAAGTATTATATGCTCATTTTGTGTCTTATGTGTATATATAAACATTACAGACATAAAGAAAGCCCACTCTGCCCCCAGTATGAATTTGGCCCCCACATCACGGGCAGGAGGGGGGACAATCAGCTTTGTACCTCATGAATATTTGAAATAAATATATAAATAATAATTAAAAAAAAAAAAAAAAAAAAAAGAAAGCCCACTCATAATCTCACCCCCAGAGATAACCATAATAAAAATTTGGTGTAAAATTTTCTTCCCATGCTTAAGTCTATGAATATGTATACTGGTATTACCAATTTATATACATATGTATGTATGTGTACTTTTTAATAGGGGTTTGAGGATTGCAAATAAGAAGATGGGGAGGGAGGAGCGAAACCCAGAACATTGTAAAAGGATGAATGTGTATTTATTTTCTTTCAAAAAATGTTGAACTCTTTTTCATTTAATGATATATCACAAATATCTTTCCATGTCACTGTACACATGTAGTGGTTAAAAGCATGGGGACACTGACATAGACTACTTAATATCAAACCCCATCTCCAATAAATTATCCAAGGATCTTAGGTAAATTACAGTTTCTGCATTTGAAAATGGGGTAAATTAGTAATACTCGTCTCATAGGATTATTGTTAGGGTTTAATGAGTTAATATATGATTGGTGCCTGGAACTCAGTAAGTACTACAATGCACCCAAGTGCTATTATAGGACATAGAACTCTCTTATCCTTCCTTTTTAATTACTTTTTATTCTACTGTATCTACCATAATTTATTTAATCAATTTTACATTTAATTTTCATGGATACTTATTTTCAGACTTTCTTATTAAACAAAACCAGCAAACATCCTTAAACTTCCATCTTTGCATACTTATATAATAATATCTCTTGGGTAAGTTTCTAGAAATGGAATTGCTGAGTCAAACTGTAATCACATTTTAATTTTTTATACACGTTACAAAATTGCTCTCTCTGAGCAATATGAGAGTGCATTTTCTGATACTCTTTAAAAAGCAGAATTTCTAAATAAGCACTTTTACAGACATTGAAAGCAAGTTGTTAAACAAAGCAGCTTTAAAAGTAATTGGTAATTTGTTTCATTGTAAATAAAGAAAATTCTTCAAACAGTTTCTGTTCTTTTGTTTGGGAACATTCAGTTTTGGATGTTCTCTTAGCTTGGAAGGGCTGTGTATATTATATAAAAGTTCCGAAGTATACTTTTTATGTTTTTGGCTTCTCATCCCTCTCCACTATGGTTTTTCCTTACTTTTCTATTGAAGCTTTTTTGATGAAGTCAACAGTAATATCTAGTGGACATCTTTCTATTTTTATCTTACTTGATCTCTCAGCAGTTGTCAAAACAGCATAATGACATAACTCTTCTTTCTTTTCTTCTTTTTTTTTTTTTTTTTTGGAAACGTCTTCCTTTGGCTTATGTCTTATTTTTTCATCTCCCTTTCTGCTGCTTCTCATTCTCCTTTCTTGTGCCCTTCTTTTATAGCCATTAACGTGAAGTTCCACAGAGCTCTAGCTTCTACAAACTCACTTGATGCTTCTCCCTTGCTGATCCTATTCATTCCTTCGGTTTCATATGTAAATGTTCTCTCTCATATTTATGTTTAGTCCAGACCCAGATGTTTGGCTGTAGACTTAATGTCTGCTTGGATGTTTCACAGGCACATCAAAAGTCGAAACTGAACTAATGTGCCATCCCAGATGTACTCCTCCTCCAGTAAAGGCACTACCCCCCTGCTCAAACCAGAATCCTAGAAGTTATCTTTAACTCTCTTCTTAATACTACATATCTCCTAATTATCAAGTCCTGTAGATTCTACTTCTGAGAATTTTTAGAATCATTCCACTTTTTTCCTATTGCCATTTTAGTAGTTTAGGTTACCAAACTTTCTAACCTGGACTATTGTAGTGACTTCCTTCAGTAACAAATATTGAACACTTACCAAGTGCCAGGCACTGTCTAGGCACTGGAGATAAAGTAG